TATAGGAAATTGATTATTCTCGTGCTTAGTAACCTCTCACCTACTGACATCAGCTGTGAGATGATGACAAGCCCCGTGCAATTATCCTAATTAATGAACTTGTTTTCATAAAGGGGAGTGCACAAGAATGCTTGAGAATAAGTGCCCTACTGACCAGAAATTCACACTAAAAAACTACACTTAGAGTACACTAAAATATGTATGAGCTCACAAAAAATAGTTGGATTGGCTCTCTTTTTAAAATAGTTGTGAGAAATAATTGTCTTAAGCAGTTATTGAGATATTTTCACTGAGCTCATCACAGTAAACCAAATTAAAGTGTGGTGAGGACTGCTTTTTTGAAATATTTTCTTAATACTTCAATGTAAAACTAAAACCAAACTGACTTCAGATCCCTAAATTTTGCACCACCAGTTTTTAAATCTTTCCTTGAATAAGACAAAGGCATTAAAACAGACCAGAATGTGGTGGAGAAAACTTAGAGCCAACACCTGGGAGAGGCACAGCAGAACATTGTGTCTGTCATTTCATGGATGTTTTCAGTAGCTCATGAATTTCTGGCTGAAGGCATTTCTAAAACCCCAGGAAATGTTCACGGGCTACACAGGTAAATTTAACACTGTGATCTTTCTGTCTTTTTCAGTCTCCACCTTTTTTATTTTTTCTTTTTTTTTTTTTTTTTTTTCCTACTGACATTTGTTTGTGAAAATTGGAGTGGTGGTAGATTCTATTGGAAAAAATAGAATCTCTTTGTTCCCTGCAGTAATAATTATTTTTTAAAAACCTGATTTTAAACTTCAGGTAAGAGCTCATCACTACATGAACATGTCAGAGTTCTTCACACAACTTTACTTATATTCTTGTCTAGGAAGTTTGAGGATATCACTCCTCCCTTGCTTTCTGTCTCTCTAAAATTACTCTTTCTCATTCCTGCTCTATTTTCTAAAGAGTTATACACTTGAATATTTTAATTCTGTTGCAAAGAAATACTGTCCTTCACAGAAATTCCCTAAAGGAATTTGTAGGCTTTTTGTATTTTTATTATGATTATTTCAAATATTGAAAAAATAAAGAAAAGAAGCTACAGGCAACTTATTGGTCTATTACAAGAGGGTTAATATTTACAGAACTATTTAATGTTTTATTGCTTTCTTCAGCTCACACAGACAAAGCACTCTTTTGTTTATGGATTTCTGTAAAACCATGTGTATTTTATATTGTTGATAAAACTTTCAGCTTTAGAACTGAATTCTAATCTAAGGAGGGGAAATATATCCTGAATGCAAAAGTGAAATAATTTGGATTGAAGTAGATGTAAAACTTCTACCCCACATTTGAATCGAGCTGAATGTTTACATGAATGTGGTTTAGATTGTATCTGTCCATAGGAGATACAAGATTTCTGGATACCAGCTGTCAGTGTCCAGTGTTCTAGCATTGGCTTTGGTGAGAAAATGCAGAATTACAGAAAGCTCAGCACAAAAAACCACTAAGAACAAATAGAAAATTATTTGGACTTTTTAAAACTAGATTTTTCTCCCTTTCTCTTCTTTTTTTTTTTCGTTTTCTTTCCCTCTCCTCTGGATTTTTTGAAAGCTGGATATCAAAAACCTGGCATCAATTACAAATTCCAGACCTAATGTCTGTGGCACAATAATAATTTTATTTCTTTACAATTATATTTGAACAAAGAAATCCAAGTTAAAACCTCAAGATATTGCACTGCTTCTGATGACTTAGTTTGGTCAGATCACCTGTGTACCACCACTGGTGTATGAAATCTTACAATTGTTTTTCAGGAAAATGGGAATTCAACTTTTATTTGGGTTATGTCCCTTTGGTGGTGTTTTGGCTTTTTTTCGTTTGTTTTGCTTTGTTTTGTTTGCTTGTTTTGCTTTGTTTTGTTTGTTTTGTTTTGTTTTTTGTTTTGTTGTTTGTTTTTAGGTTTTGTTGGGTTTTGGGGGGGTGTTAGGTTTTTTTTTTAATTGGAATTTTTTTAATGTCAAAAGTTCCATCTGGGTCTCCTTGATATTCCTTGTAGTAATGACAGCTTTGATGAGGCTAGAGGAAACAGAGTGGAGAGTAAAATCATGTGCACTGACAAAGGAGTTTGATAAAACCCCTTGTTTTTTACATTACTGATGCATTCTTTGTCACCAGAACTTGCTGGAATTTGAAACGAGGTTCTGTAAATTCCTGATACCACATAAAATTTAAAATGAAAGAATCTGTGGGGTTTTTTTTCTGTGAGGTATCACTTGAAGTCTGCCTGTAAATTGTTTTCAATTTTCTTTTATTATTCTGCATGTGAATATTTCATGACAGGCCATGGCTGCTCCTAGTGATGCTGAATATTTCAGTCTGGTTTAGGACTGGTACTTGACACAGCCATCTGTACTACAATGATGAGAAGTTCCCTTATTGAAAAAAAAAATAAAAAAAATATTTCCAGCTCTTCAGAGCTGCTGTATTCAGCGTTAATAATTTATAACCAGAGGCATTTGCAAATACTCCATCCTTGTGAGAAGTGATACAGCCTCTTTGCTCACGGGGAGCAGAGTCTATTGACAACTACCATTTAAAAAAACCCCAGCCAACCAACCCAAACTCAAAACAGCTTCATTTCATATGAGAGAAGCAGCAAGAAGCCCTGCAAACCCCACCAGCTCCAGCACAGCCCTGGCCCAGGAATTTGCCATCCCCAAATGCATTATCAGCCTTCCCCATGGGCTTGCAGAAAGCAGGCTGAGCTGGCCCCACACAAACCATCATTATCACCTCCTAGGAAGCTTGCCCAGCACTGGACAAGCTGCTTTGTGTTTTCATAGCCTGAGGTAATTAATTAGTGCCTGGCATCTGCAGCAGGAATAAAATGCCTAACACTGGGGTTTCCAGGATGACACTGTTTTCATTACAGGTTTAATTTTGCAAACAGCATAAAGGCAGGTACATCAAAATGCCAAGAAGCCTCTTTTAATTAAAGCCTGTTTTTCTTTTTCCTCTTAAGATTTGCATATGTATTGAGCCATTAGATGAAAAGATAAAAGGAGCCCCAACACTGTTGATACACAGCCTTTATGAGTGCAGCTCCTCACTTTGCAGGAGACATTATTTTGACTGGAGCAAGCTATAGTGTGGCTTGACAGAACCCAAGGCTGCTTTGTAGTGCTCCAGAGGCAGACAGTGACTGGATCCTGAACTCCCATTTTATCCTGTGCTCTGCCAGATGTGACATTCTTATGTCCCCACTACTGTTCACCATGCTTTGGGGGGAAAAAAAAATGGATTACAGTTCCCCTCTTCACGGCTGAATCTTCCCCTGCCACAGCTTAATGCCCATGCTCTGGGGTGATTATTTACCATTCATATAATGGTAAATTCATAAGGTACATGTTTTGTACCTCCTCTTCAGATTAACAGTGCATTATCTTTGGAACACGGGTGTAGCTGGCAGCAGGTGAAAAGTTGTCTCTGTCCAAATCACCAGCTTAAATCCCCCAGATTCCTCAGGCCAGGATTTCCCCTCAGAAGCTTGGGATGGAGATCTGTGTTGTTTATTTGGCAGGACAGCTTTTGGTGGGTTTCACTGAGGTTAGTTAATAACCCTGCAACTTTTTTCATCAGCCTTGAAGGACATTTGGAGCTGTGTCTCACTGCAGATGCTGTTTGACTTCTCTATTCCAGGCCTCACAGCCAAATAAGTTCAAATGAAATGATCCAAATTTTACAGTGCTTATTCCAGTAAAATTCACTGTTTGTTTTTCTTAGATGAAGATTAAATGAAAATCAAAACAGGGCTTTTGGAACAGGCCCTTTAATAGCTGGAAGGAACACTGGAGACATCTAATGGAAGATCAATAAGTGAGGAGTTCAGTACAGAAAACACTACGTTTTCTTTTTCTTTTTTATTTTTCTTTCTTATATATTATCTACAAGCACAAGCCTTCATATTTTTAATGTAAAAATGCATACAGATCATTATATATATAAAAATCAACTAGCCTTGTAGCAAACTGCCAGATCCAACCATCCCCAGGTTGGGGACAACCTGTCTGGATCCAGGTGCAAATCCAGTGGCTGATCCTCACTTCCATCTGCAGTTGCACCAAACCCCCAGATATGAAGATTCTCAAAAGTTCCAGGGAAGTTTTGGGTCCTGATCCAGGTCTTGCAGCATGGGCATGACTAACTCTTCATCAATTGAAGATAAATATTTTAAAAACTTCATAAGTGACAATCAACTTGTTGCAGGTAACAAGTATCCCTTTCAGCTTTCCTCCCCATTTTGGTTCATCGTCCTTCCCATCCTCTCTCTGCAGAAATGGCAGCGGGCAGAGGAGAGAAATTTAATGTTAGTGTCACAAACACACACTTAAACAGCAGCAGGAGAAGCAGAATTTAATCTGTTGATGTCTGCTGCAGAATGTCGGTTCATGCTGCACTCAGCCTTTTCAATGCTTGGGCAATTTTGGGCTCAATTTGCACACTGTGGAAATATGACAGATTTATATCCAGTAATGTGTTGCAACATCGTGAGCAACAGTAAATCGAGTTTCATTTAATACTATGAAATGCACATCAACAGATTATAATACACCATAGTAAAACTGGCTTTGAGGGGAAAAAAATTAATGAACAATTAAGTAAAGAAGTTTGTGTTTGTTTTGGAGGAAAGGTCACAAAATGGAAGCCTTCTTTTTGACCAAGTGTTTGTCTTGTTTGGCAGTTTTCAAATTCAGTCTTTGCAAAGGAATGTTACTATTTTTATTGTAGGTTCTTTATGTAACAAGGGATGTTTGCACAGTGGAACTTTTTATTTTCACCAGGATTTTATAATTTGTCCACACAGACGTTACAAAAGAAGATACAATTTGCTGGAAATCTTTTGGAAAGTATGAGGGCTGTAACTCAGCCTCTCCTTCCTTTCAGCTCTTCTAGTATGAATATGATTAATTATTTTCTCCTGTCATTAATTTATAACCTTTTTGCATTTTAAATGCAGCTCCAACCTGAACCCCAAGAAAGGTTTTTTTTCCAGATAAAAGAACTGTTGAAGTTTCCTAAGAGGGATGAATCAATTGCTTAGCATACCAAAGTCAAGGCTTGGCCACGTTGCCATGGGATTGCAGGTAAGGATTTTGTTTACTTCAGAGACGTGCACCAGCACTGATTTGAAAGATAACAGAACCTTAGTGCTTCAACTTGCAAATGCTCACTCTGGCTCCTGATGTAACTAAATTGCTTGCAAGTTCAGCCCCTCAGCTAAAGAATTCTGGTTTGTGAACAGGCAGTAGCTTGCTCTTCTGCACTTGGATTGATTCTACATTACTAATAGGACTAAAAATGGCAAAACCTCTATTTTTCTTTTTTTTCTTTTTTTTTTTTTTTTTTTAAAGTTAACGATGTGATGAGTAGTTTGGGAACAAGTGTGTCACAGAGGCCTGTTGGAAGAATCCCCTGCCCAGGAGCACACAGTGAAGTTTCCATTGCAGTGTGTCCAGCTGATGTACACAAACACATGTGAACACATGTGAGGACCAAAATATAGACTTTGATTCCAGGACAGTGAAACGAGTTTTTACCACCTAGAATACAGAAGCAGAGAAAGCAAACAGCCCAAATACACATCTGAATGTGATGTTCTTGTCTGGTTGGGTAAAAGTGAAAGTTTAAAAAAAAAAAAATTACTTTGGTAAAATATCTCTAAGTGAATACTTTTAATAGAAGTGCTAATTTGGAACTTTTCTCTGTTCACTGGGATATAAAGATCTGCCTCTTCAGCCTGTTCCACCACCTACATGGCTATGTATAACTCTACAAAGTGCTAGCCAGTTGGATTTACTCACTTTCCTACATGTGTGGCAATTAGCATTTGATAGCCTTTTGGAGTTCCTCACAACCAACCACATGCAATACAAAGCAGTGGAGAATCAAGTTGTAAGCAGTTGCTACAAGGGGGCTGCTGCTCAGAGGAGAATGTTGCTCATTTGTCATCCCAACCCTTGGCTGTGGTTCTGCCTGTTGACAGCCTGAGCTGCCTGAAGGGATGCTACACCACTGCTGGGAGACCAGCAAATCTGAATGAAAACCTCCCAGTCTTTATTCTTGCATCTTTTAGCAGTTAACAAACCAACTAGACAGGAGGTAAAACTTGGAAGCTGGCTTAAATGAGATGATGAGGGAGAAGGAAAAAAGGTGTTTTATCCCAGGCACCAAAATCTGGTAAAATGCATTTCTGCTTCAGTGTGACAGATAAAAGTCACAAAAAACCTGCACTGCTTTAAGCCCCAGAGTGCTTCAAGCAGCATCTGGAAGCTTAAACAGCTGAAAATTATGGTCTTTTGATATGGTAGGGGCCATTCAGAGCTGATTTACATTTGGGCTTAGACTTTAAATACATGCCTTCCCAGGGGTTCAGTTCTTCTTAGGTATAAAATAGACTAAGAGGAACTACTTGAATTGAAAAAAAGCAAAAAGGAAAAATGAACTAAAAAAAAAAAAAAAGCTAAAAACTACCCATAGCTCAATCAATAGTAATATGGTTACTTTCTTTTTTTTTCAGTTTGAACTCCCAGCACATACTCCTATTTCCCCAAGCACAGTACTAGGTTTTCAGGAGGAAATGCTGAAATGCCACTGGACTAGATTATTTCTGGAGGATTCTCCAGTTTCAGAGGAGCTGGAAGAGCAGCTGAACTTCATCTCTCTTGAAATGTGTGTCTAGCTGGCTAAACACTCCAGGAAACAGACCTTTCCTATATTTTTTGCATACCTTACTAAGAACATCAACACTTATGGATTTGACAAAAATAACAAGGAAGGAGTGAAAGCATACAATGAGCCAACTTAGAGCTGGTGAAGGTGTCAGGTGAGCTTTCTGATTCAACACAGCAGCCTCTACACATATTCAGTCCTGGAGAACAGCAGTTGTGATGGTTGTTGATGGACTGAGGGCTGAATCTTGCTCTCCAATGGCTACTGAGCAGCTGTCTGGCTGGAAATGCTGTTTAGGCACTACTGACTTGCAGGGGATTGGAGCTAGCCACGTAGAAGCAGAAGATTCTCTCTTGGTTGCCAATCCCCACAATTGTCTAGTCCTTTGGAGTTCATTTGGTGTGTTTGTTTGTTTTTCCTTGGTGTATTTTTTTCCCCACATTAGTCAGAAGCAGTGTGGCTAAATACAGTTCAAAACAGGAAAACAGTATGATTCCGTGTCACTCAAAGAAGTGGTGGTGTTTGTCTTTTTGGTTTTTCATCTCGTTGCAAAGGTTTGACCATTTCTCATTAAACGCGCTCTGCTTGCCCCGTCCCTACTCCAAGCTGAAACGCTCTGAAACGCTTCTCCTCCTCAGGACAGCTCCTTTTTTAGCTGCTGATTTTGGTAAGCATCTTATTAATGGCCTGCTTGACGTGGGTGGTGGAGCTTCTCCTCCGAGTCTTGCCCTGGACCATCTTGCGGCGCCGCACCTCGCGGCACAGCTCGTAGAACGCCTCCATGATGTTCCCCTCGCCCGTGCAAGCCGAGCACTCGTAGAAAGCACATGCCAGTTCCGTGGCCAGCTTTTCCCCTTCCTCTGTGCTGACCTGCCTGGAGTGATCCAGGTCTGCTTTGTTCCCCACCAGGATCAGGGTGACGTTTTTGGGCTTTTTGACTTCGTCCAACAAGTTCTTAAGCGGCAGCATTTCCTCGAAGCTGCCTCTGTCCGTGATGTCGTACACCAGCACGAAGCCCTCGCCCCATCGCACGTGTCCTTCCTTCTGGATGGCATCCTCCTGTTGCAAAAGACAGAAGAATGCCTCAGGAATTTGGTTTGTGAAGAAGGCAGCAGACCTTCAGAGAGGTGCTGGTTCTCCAGAGCCCACAAAGCTGGGTGCATCTGCTTTACTTTATACTCGGCACACATCACATTTTTTATCACGTGGCATAGGAGATTTATTCCAACCAGCGCCATCACCTGTGCAGCACGTGCACCTGCCATGCTTTAAAAGGGAGACCTGACTGTGACAAACCTGCTCTTCACAGTGGGAATCACTGACTGAAGTTGTCAGTGATTCCTACTGATGACTACAATCATTTCAGTCTATTTCTACAGTCAAGTAATTTAATCACTTGACTGTAGAAATAGACTGTGACTTTGTGCCTACTTATTGGGCTGGCCCTGAATAAAAAGACATGACACCAAAATAATCTTAACACCAGGGTAACCTCCTTGACTAGTTTGGTCTTCCAAGTAGGATCCCTTGCAGAAGGATGTGGATCCAGCACGGGGGAGGAGAGAGGGGGTCCTGCCCAGAAGCAAATCTGTGTCCCCAGAGCAGGGCACTGCTGCCACCAGCCCAATTTCCTCCCCTGCTGCATACCCGAGCCAAGGAACTGGGTAGCAGCACACGCACCCACGCACCTGGCCAGCTGTGTCTAGTATCTCCATGGAAACCACTTCATCATCAATGGTAGCCTGGTGACGGTATGTCGACTCTAAAATAAGAACACATGTTGTGAAAGGTATTAAAAGAAGGTAATTTTCTTTTTTTTTTTTTTTTTTTTTAAATCTTCCTCACAGATCTCGCAGCACAAAAGCACAGATGTGATGCGCAGTTTGGCTGAATTTTCTTTGCTGGAGTTTTTCCAGCCATCTTGGAGCACACTGAAGTCCTCTTTTCTAAAACAGCAATAATTTTACCTCTCTCCAGAGGGCACAACAATTTCTTTCCCATGTGTTAAGACCAGCAAAAGCTTGGTGGATGCTGCAATCTGCACCCAACAAAGGAGAGCTCTGCAAAGCTGTATCCCAGGAAAGGCTGCTACCTTTGGGAGACAATGCCACAACTCTCCACGAATCCAGCTCAACAGACTGTCACTGCATAGCTTGTTGATCAAAACCAGTGTGGTTGCAGATCAAGGAACCTAACCACTAAGCTCAGGCCTTATACTGTGAAAAAATTACAGACCAGTTAGGTATTTTAGGAATGTGTGCTTTAAACATGCTGAAATCATCACATTCCCCTCTTCTAGCAAGGGATCAAGCAGTGATTCTCTGTTTATGATTTATAAGGATAACCAGTGGGCATTAAGCATTTACACTATGGAAAAGAAAACCAAAACCAAAAACCAACAACAACTCTATTTACTGTCCCAGGTTCTGGAACCAAGCAACTAATCAGGAAACTAGTGACAAAGGAGCTTGTTTTATCTTAATAAGCTGATAAGCTAAATTTGATAGCATTTGACCTAAAATGTGGAAAACGATCTGTGCTAACATTCAGATTTATTACTGTTGCTAGCTCACAGATGTCCTTTATCAAAAGGCAAATATGTAGGCTGTAAAAGTCTGGCCAGTGACTATGAGTGCTTTGCATTGTCAGAGACACAATTCTTTCATTTGGTGCAAATCTCTTCAATAGGAACGAAGGATATTTCCTTAGGAAACACATTTCTTTAACTTGAACTTCTGGAAGGGCTCGTGTTTCTTGAGTGCCTGTTTTCATTTTTCACTTAAGGATGTCACCTCTCCACAATCAGGAATGTTTCAGTGCTGGCAGTGCTGCAAACAGGCTCTCCCCAAGCCAAAAATGTCACCCCCTCCCTGTGCCACCTTAATTGCTGTAACAGCCCAGCTGTCTGTGACAGGGACAAATGGTCAATTTACTTGGGCAGATGGCAAGCAAGCTTGCTGTAAGTTTCCAGGCCATGAAGACTGGGTTTTCTTAAAGGTTGTAAACACCCCTTCTGGATAGTATTTCCAGGCTGTTGAAGGAGTTGGAGTCTCCCTTTGTGATCCTGAGGCTGCACCTACACAGCAGAGTGAGGCACATCAAAGCCCCTTGGTGTGATGTCTCATCTGTGCCTTCCACACACCCTCCAAGCTGCAGCAAATCCCTCAGGGAAAGCAGAAAAAGCAGGAAACTCCAGTTTGCTGTTAGAGCTGCACCTTCAATGAGTTATTTCAGTGTTCAGTGCTGGGATTCCCTGTGTAGCACTCCAAGCTCGAGGTTATTTAGGAACTCGTGCTCTGTGTCTTTGGGGGAAGGTGCTGTGAGAAGGGATGGCTCTCTGGGTAAGCAATGTGACTCGAGCTCCTTACTTGCTAAGGCTTTGCAGTGCTCACATGCCTTCAACCATCTGGCCATTGCCTGACAAGTGGCTGCTGAGAATTTTTCCACAGAGCCTGAGAAAGCTCTCACCCAGCAGCTTTATGGCTGCAGGATATCTGTGAAATGTCCTCAGGAGCCAGGATGGGTTGGACCACGCACATCTTCCCTATAAACGGGAGAATAAATCTCAAGGAATGGACTTTTGCTCACGGTGCAAAAGCAGCATGAATCTTAAACGGTACTTGATTTCTCAAAATAGGACTTTTATGTTGCAAGTTTAACTTGCTCTGGCTGCTCACGTTGGAAAGGAATTTGGTCTTGGATGAGTAGCACCGATTTAGGTCAGATTCGTGTAAATAAATCTTGTGAAATGTGTGTCTGTTCCTGTGCTTTGGAATGTGTGGTAGCTGCGTGGATTTTAATGAGGAGTGTAAAACAGCTGGACGTTGAAAGCATTTTTGGTGTAATCACAGCCATGGCTCTTCTCCTTCAAGGGAACAGAAAAATCTGAAGAATCTGGTTGTCTTGTAAATTATGAGCCCTGAAGATGTGAGTTCCAGTCTGCTCATATGGTACATCACAAAAACATTGCCTTGCTTTGGGATTTATTAGTTTTCCTTGTGGCACTGCTTGCTTTTCTTTTTTTGTTGTTTTTTTTGTTTTTTTGACATGCAGCCAGAGAGTAATTACAGGGCTTGAGATAACTGCTGGACCCCTGAAACAAACCACTGACAACACCACAGGTGTCTGTGTCTCAGCTAAGCACCCTTGACTCCTATCAGAGTTGATGGAATAAAATAGGTGCTGGTGGATACAGCTTGTCTGAGCTCTTTCCTGGAATAAACTGCACCTCAGAAATACCTGGAAGTCTAAAATTGGCCAGATGAATCCAGGCTGTAAAAACCTTATGCTTGCATCATCGTGGTTAAGTATAAAATAGCAAGGTGTAAGCCTCTACCAGTGGCTCCCAAGATGATTTTAGGCAACTTTCTGCACTTGAGAGTGTGATTGTCACCAGGTGTTGCCTATATTCCTATATTCCACCTCTAACTATGTGGCTGAACCCTGAGAGCTGGAACAGACACCACAGAGCTGTGTTTGCCCACAACAAACTCAAAGCAGAGTTTGGGAGCTGCTGTGCAGACTGAGCCATGGTCTGTCTGAATCTGGTGCTGCTGTGGAAATACACTCATTTATTTGCTCTGTTTCAATATAAATAAGTAAATCTGACCTGTTCTTGCTGGTCTGGGGGTGTGCTGTGATTCCAGTCATATTCCCAGTAAGAGGCTCAAAGGTGTGGCTTTGAAGGCTGATACAGGATTTCAGAGTGGTTCCTGGTCTGAAAATAAAGCTGAAATCCCCCAGCACTGCTGCTGTGCAAACCACTCTTGGTTCTCATGGTTCCATTGTTTGAAAAATTAAGGTTTATTTCAAATATATTTAGAGCTGTCAAAAAGGCCTGAGAAAAATGTGTTGGAAAGTGGCAGCAGTTGGTTTGGTTTTGAGTCACAATAATAAAATAATTAATTAATTAATAAGTTAATCAAATCTCCACAGCTGCTGAATAATTATGGAAAAAATTATTTTGCAGGGAAAAAACCCCAACAATTTCCCTGGGGGCTCTTGGTGTTGATAAGCATATTACAAATACCTCCATTCTTCTGAGCAGTATGTTTAAAAAAATACAGGAAGAAAACCAACTTATGTAGGGAAAACTTTGAAGCCCATGATCCACAGACTGTGTGTGGATGAAATATTCAGTCACAACTTCATCACATCACATCACATCACATCTCATCCTTGCACTATGCTTACTGTGACATTTTTAAAAGAGTTTTGGCCTATGAGACTTGGCTGGTCATCTCTCAAACCTTTGTTTTGTCCAGGACTATCCTGTTTTTCTGAGTATATTTGTTCCAGAATATTGTATTTTATAGAGAAAAACTATTATCTGGAAATTAATTTCTAGTTTTTGGGTTATATTTGAAGTGATGTAAAATGCTGGTTTTAATACTTGTTGGTTTTGAAACAGCAATATATATATTGGGATATGTCACAGCTCTAAGAGGTAATATTTACATGGAGGTGTTTCCTGGTTTTAGGAGCAGGTAAATCAGCTGAGTTGGAGCTGTAATATTTTACAGGAAAACTTAAGCCAGCCTGGTCTCTTGGTTGCTTTTAAGTACAGAGGAACACAATCTCTCTTTCCATACAAAATTTTAGTTGATTTTTTTTGGTCAAGAAAGGTTACTAAAGCAAGGACATATAAAAATACATCAAGATACTTTGGTCTAATGGTGATTTTCAGCCAGATGGATCCGAGAAATGCAAAAGATCTGGAGAAAGATTTTTTGTGCAGTGATTACAGGAGAGTTTTCAGACCAAAACCCGCAGCTAAAGACAGGAACTTTCAAGTCATGGTTAAAGTCTCGTTGGATGGCAATATCTAAAAGACTAAAACTCCCCAAAATTAGTTCTTTCAACAAAAGAAAAGTTCTTGTTTATTGTTTGGGGTGGTTTTGTTGGTACCTCACCACTCATTCAGACTCCTGCAATCTTTGGCACCCACCAGGGGCACCTGTCTGTCACACTTGAGAGCAGTGACTTTGACAGCCCACTGGGTAAAAAAAATAAAATATTACTAACCCTGGTGTTGTTCTCCCAACCCTTCCTTGTCCCAGCCCTGGTGAGGTCTGTCCCCCTCTGCATTTCTTTGCTGCTTCAGGATCTTTTCACATTTTAGAAAGTCCCTGTAAGCTGAGTGTATTCTCCTGACTCAGAAAGTCTCTTCTGCCTTCTTCCTTCCTCAACCCCAGCTTTTCTCAAAGCACAGTGGAATTTATTTGTCCTGCTTGCCTCTGGCTGCTCCCTCAGTTGTTTACCTTACAGGAGGGTTTTTATTTTGTCACCACCCATGGTTTTACACAGCACAGTTGCACAGTATGACACAGTACCTTGTGTATTTAGAACATATTTCTAATGCTAACCTCATGTGTCTATTCATTAATTCATTTCTATTCATTAATTCATTTCTATTCATTAATTCATTTCTATTCATTCATAGCCCCAAATGAGCAAAGTTGGGTTATTTATTAATATCACCATCAAACAAGATGCCACGAATGGTCATTGCATCATTTTCATCACGAGCAAAAGGAGAAAAACCAGGAAAAATAATGTTTCTGAAAGGAAACTTTGTGCCTGTGATAAACGGACTGGGACTCTTCAATGCTGTGCATGTGTAGCCCCAAGAGTCAGGAAATAGGGAAGGAAAAGTTCCAGGAGGGTTTACACTCACCAGGGGTGTTGTGTGCTCTCAGTGTGCAAACGGCATGCCACACGAACACTCGTGGCACACATCTCAACCAGAACATGCACGAAAGA